CCCCAAAACCCCAAAACCCCAAAACCCCAAAACCCCAAAACCCCAAAACCCCTTGAAGTAAGCATTCAAGATAAGAAATATAATAAATATGGAAAATAACAATCAAACGACTACTTCCAAAGACCTTGAGAAGTAAGCTTGATTTGCAATTTTCTCCATCAACTCATCACCTAATTCTAGAACTAAACTAGCAGAGCCTCCTAGTAAAGCCCTACAAGAGCCTAGTCCAAAATTAGCAACATCTCAGGATGGAGAAGCCAATCTTGGCTTGCCTACCAGCACTGGGCAAGAAGAAAATGATAAAGCTGGATCAAATCAAGGTAAATTATTATAAATTTAGTTGTATTTTCTTTCAAACCTCATTTAACCTGAACTCAGTCCTCTCCAAAGATGATGGCGACAAGAAATCAGAAGGCCAAGCTTCACTCCAAGATGATGAACCAGAGGAAGAGTACTCTGAGCCTGAATCCGATCATGAGGATGACTCTAAATCTAACTGTGATGAAGCTGGTCGTCAAATTTCAAAATCCAGGTATGACTTAGAATTGATCGTCTAGAAAAAGCAAATCAAGGAAAAAGAGCAAGACTTTCTATTACACAGTTCTCAAAGGCAATTATCCACAGAATGTCGTTGATGCTATTAAACTACGTAAAAACTGGAAGGAGGTAAGCCCTGGCTTGGACAAATTTAGTGAAAAGATGACAGAGACATGTTCGAAGCTTCACACTTCATCTGGAAACCCACGAATTTCCCAGCCAAGGTAGTCCTCGGAGATCCTCATTCTTTAGAGTTATGGAAAGATTGACTTCTTTATTAGAAGAGGCAAGAAGATGGTCTTTAACCACCTTGAGAAAATAAGAGGGATAAGTACAAAGACTGGACTTGTAGGGTCGCTTAAGGACTACTATGACCATTGCTCTGAAGCAGGTAAGGACCTATCACTCATTCTTCAGCTTCAATTAAGTACAATGCCTTCGATAGTACCCCTACAACTTTTATTATCTCTCCTAGCTTAGAGGGGGATGACTATAAGGCTTTTAATCATGCTCTGAAATCTTCAAAGAACAAGATGGGAAGCACCTCAGGTACTGTAATGCGCCCTAATCCCTGTAGAATACCAAGACCAGTACATCCTTCCTAAGCACTGTGAGAATGGGACTTGGCTGGTCAAGCCATCCTGCATGAACAGAGGAAAAGGAATTGAAATATTTCATAACAAAGAAGAAATCCTTAACTTTATTTCAGGCAAATCCTTCTTTAGCAAATGGGTTGTCCAGAAATACATCGAGAAGCCCCTCCTTTACAGGGGAAGAAAGTTCGACCTCAGAGTTTGGGCCTGAGTGAACCATCTCAATGAGGTCTTTTTCTACGAGAAAGGATATGTACGATTGTCCTCTGAAGATTATGATCTTGACAACCAGAATAATTATGTGCATCTTACAAATAATTGCTTGCAACAGCATGGAGACAAATATGGGATTCATGAAGAAGGAAATACTATCGGCTACGAAGCACTTCAGGAATACCTTGATGAAGCTTTCCCTGATCTACAAGTTAGTGTTGAGAAGCATTTCATCCCCAGGATCAAAGATCTGATCTTAGACACCTTCTTCTCCATTAAGAATGATTTAAAGACCTGAAAAAGGAAAAGCAGCTTCGAGTTCTTTGGATATGACTTCCTGATCGATGAAGATTTCAGAGTAATACTTAGAATAATTCTGTAGATCTGGTTGATCGAGTGTAATTCAAACCCTTACATTGGAAAAGTTAACCCCTACATTAAAGGTAATTATTCCTTAACAACTTTAGTTTTGGTGGAGAATATGCTGGACGATCTTTTCAAGACCTGCTTAGACCCATATTTCAAGCCAAAACATGTAGATGAACCCGACAGAAAGAACTTATTCGAGCTAATTTATTCACCAGGAGGTACAATCAACTCCAAAGAGAAGGTGAACCAGAGAAGAGAGTACACTTGGGACGACCTTTACATTTCCTCTGAGACAAAAGATAAATTTATAGAGCACAGATTTGCAGCAAACAAAGAAAAGGAAGCCAAATTAAAGAATCTTAGGAACAAGTCTCCTTCTAAGCACATCAGGAAGAACAAGGCCGTAGCTCCTAGAGATGACTCCCATATCCAAAATTCCCAAAAGAAGGAGCCTTTGCAATATTTTAACTCGTACCATCACACACAGAACAATCCGAAGATTCGGAAGAGCTCTCACTCAAGAGAAGCCAAGGTTAATAACAAGATGACAAGCGTCAACGGGTCTCGTACAGAGACTGTTTTCCCTGTGATCAAGAACGTTATCGAAGAGAAACCCCCAACAAGGTTTATAAACAAAAACTTCATAAATCATAATGAGTAAGCCACCTCAGGGCTTCCTTCTCAATCCTATAGAATCCTCCAGAAGCAGAAACAGAAGAAGTTAGAGGACACACAGAAAATAGAGGAGCAGATCACCTTCTTGGCTAAGTTCAACCAGGACGTTAGAGAAAGAAACCGGCTCAGAAGTATTAAGGTACATAGGAATAGGAAAAAGCAATGGAAGCGTAAAAGAATCAATAAACTTATCTGTTACGCATTTTATATCTAAATTCCTCCACTAAACTCCTTGGAAAGGGTAATATTTGGTATAGGAGAATGGGCTCTCACATAATAAGATCGACACCCAGGTAAAGACGCTTGATCCTATCCATAAGAACACAGACAGTTGTGCGAAGGATACTGAAAGGACCTCAATTACTCCTTCAAAGAGAGTAGTAGCTGATGGGCATTTCCAGAAGAAGTATATCTCACTGAAGGAGCAAAGAGCCAGACTTGACCTGTACATCCCCTATTCATTCCTTTCTAGGTCAACGTTAAATACTGGTCTTGATAGGAAGAAGGGACCGATCATTAGTACTGAAAGGAAAATAAAGATTAATGTAAAGAAAGCTAAGGCTGAATCAGGCAATCTGTCTATCAACAGCAGGCTCAGTGAAAGCCACACTGTTGAGAAGAAGATTAAGACACCTCTTGAGGACAAAAGCCAGGTACCAGCCCGATCTGATGTTTAGAATAAATTACCAGTGCTTAATCACAAACATCTTAGTTCAGAAGTTGGCAAGCAAGAAAACAGTGTAAAGAATGAGAATGAAAAGATAAAATTGAGGGAGAATAACTCTATTCAGACTCTTATGGAGAGTATGTCCAGTTCTTGACTTATCCTCATTCCTTAACATAATTCCTAGATTCAGACCAACCCTTCATGGGCAAAAAGAAGTCAAATAAGCAGACAGCAGATGGTTCCAAAAAGAAAAGAATAAAGGATCTCAAGAAGCTAAAGCAGTTCAGTCCATACTTTGTCAACCTCCTAAAGAGCCAGACGAAGCTATCTAACCTATCTAAGAAGTTTGACTTCATGGATGACAAGAAGTAAGTCCATGGCTTATAACTCTAGGTCCCAGAACTACAAGTTGTACAAGGTGTATGGAGTGGAGAAGCCTAAGAGATATAAGAAGAAATCGCAGTAAATATAACTTTATGTTATTTCAACCTTCACTTACTCGTCCGGGGTTTTGGGGTTTTGGGGTTTTGGGGTTTTGGGG